CATTTTCTTATTCTGTTTGAATCGGTTCAAATTCAGGCTGAATCGGTTCAAGTTATGGTTGAATCGGTTCGAGGTCTGGCTGAAACGGTTTAAATTCTGGCGGAACCGGTTCAAATTTCGGCTAATCGGATCAAGCTCTGGTTAAATCTATGCAGCTGATATTAATGATTTTATTTAAAATTGGCCACATACTTTCTTTGATGAGCTCGTTAGCAATAAAAAAAAATTCTCATTGCGCCAACAAACAGATCAACCTTGCCCCAGAAACAAGTCTTAATGTGCCAGAAATAAAAATATTTCGTGCAAAAAAACTGTCAACTTAATGCACATCACTAAAGACTCTGCCATTCCTATATAATGTGATGTTGTGGCTATTCTATGCATACACTTTTTGCTCCTTCACATAATTTCCCAAATGCCATTCAAAATGACATTCTTAATTTAAACCACCGACAAATTGCTGCTTGTTCCAAGCTATTGAGTGAGGAACACTAGTGAAAACAAAATTTATTTTTTAATTGCCTTGTCAAATGGAGGAGGGCAGCCACACAGAAATTTTTTTTTATGCTCAATAAATCATTAAATGGGAATCATAAAATTTTTTTGTAACATAAATCAGCAAAAATTTTTTTTTTATTCTAACCAATTTGGCCGTTAATAATTTTCCATGACTTAATATACATGTCTAGCTGCTGTTTTTTGCTGTGAAAAATGACTCAAAATCTTCATCTGCAATAATTTTAATAAACGCCTTCTCGGTTGCTAGCCATCTGCTTTTTATTTCTTTTTATCAACTTTTAGCTTTGTTTTCTGGGAATAGGCAAGGACATTTAGGAGGTATTTGCTGTCCCGAGTGACTCAATTTGCAATAAAAATTCTTATAAAACTCAAAATTCATAAATTCTCCAGCAAAATATAGATTCAAGATATTTTTTAAGGGTCAAATAAATCTCCAGCTCGGGTTTCCGACCTTGTTACTCTCCATCCCCAAAAAAGGCTATAACTCTAAGCATACGCGAAAAGCTTACATGAGCATTTATGCATTGATATGAATGAATGTCATGACTTTGAAAAATTATAAGCAATTCACATCACGTAAATGACATTCTCAAACTATCCTTCGGCATATAAACACATTCATAAACGAGGTTGAGTGTGCCATAAGAAACAAAAGGGAGTAAGAAAAATGGTGGGAGTGAAAGGAAAAAGATAGAGGCAGTTAGAGAGCTACAATAGAGCTATTTCAAAATTTATATCGATGCTCACATAATGTAATGTTCTGGAAGAAACAAGAAGAGGATGGAAAACCTTTCGAACTTAATTTTTGAAGGAATTGAACATTTTTGGCAGTTTGAGATCAAGAAAATCTTTTGTGTGTTATTATTAAATTAAATTGAAATTCTAAGACCTAAAAAGAAGGTTCATGGGTCAACTAGAATGATTAGGGGTAAGAATATGAGTTTAAAAGTATAGCTTCAATAAGATTCGAACCTTGGCTCTTCTATATTACTACTACAGTTTCCATGAATCACCATGATTCGATACTAAGTCCCAACAATTAATTTAAGCTCACTTAAAATAATTAACAATTCACATTGTTGAGTATCGAACCCACGTGTGTCGGATACAGAGTCATTTGTTATGTTTTGCCGGCAATCAAGTCTTAAAAGCCCATTTCATTTGACAAATCAAAGTGCGTCACTATCTTAATGTCCTCTTGATTTTCTCTCAATTTCTCCTTGTTGCCTGCTTAAACAGCATTAAAACTGGCACACAGAGTCATAAAAACGATGAAGAAGTGAAAAAAGAAAAAAAATATATATATATTTTTGTCAGCTGTAAACTCAAGCAATAAAGATGATTTTATTGCCACGGTTTTTGTAGCAATCCAAAGAAATAAAATGTTATCCTATCCTCCTCGTTAAGTTTCCTTTCAACAAGCGCTTTCATTTGGAATGAAACAAAAAAAAACAATGTTTTTGATGAACAAAAAAAATATTCACAATATTCACATTCTTATCAATTTTATGTGACAAAATTATTATTATTATTATCATTATTATTGTTACAGCTGTAGAGCATTTTATTGTTCATTAAGATGAGCTATAAGTGTTAGTGGTTTACCTCATTTATTTCAGTTTTAAGCTACAAAATAAATGTCGTCACTTGACCGAATGATTTTTCAAGTGCGAAGAGATAAAAGAAGTTAGAAAAACAAGTCTTTAACGGCCATTTTAAATTCAAATAAATTTTTTTTGCATACTTTTTAATGTTGTGGTGATTGCTGTAGTTACGACACTGCTGCTCTTTTGATATTGCACTGATGAGAATGAGATGTGCAGTATAAAAATGTTTGTGACTTTTTGAGTGGTTTTTGAACTATTGTTGCAGTTTGTTAAAAGTTTTGTTGCAGTTTTTAAAGCTCTCTTGAGCTTTTTGAAGGATTGAAAATTTACGTAAAAATTCAGCTTTATTAAATTTTTTTTCTTCCAGATTTAATTTATTTTTTTAAAATTTTTTGGTTTGAAAATCTTTTAAATTCTACCAAAAAAGCTCATAATTCTTAAATTTACGACATAAAAAGCTTACAATCTGAATTATTCAAAACAATCAGATAAATTTTACAACCCCACAAAAGTAAGATTCCAAGAATAATATTTTAACAATAAAAAACAAAAAATAAGCTCTGCAAAAAATTATTAAAACATATAAAAATATATAATCTGTCGCCATAAAATTTTCATAATTTCCATAATGACATTTATGCATGATCCGTTGCAATAATTTTATTTGCCTGAATGAAAACTTTGTTTTTTTTATAAAGAAATTTTCATTTTATTGCAAGCTTTTCATTTCAATTCTGAATGATTTTTTTTTGTTCCTTTCATTGCCTTTTCTGCGCTCGCTTTGCCTCCTTTTTATTTTTTATTCCTCATTTTCATTTTAAATATCCATTCGCATATTTATTCTATGTTATATATTTTTATTTCCTTTTTCTCGTATTATATATTTTTACGACTTTTTACCAGCCACCGTAAAAAATTTGGATGGATCAATGGATGGATGGGCTGGCAAGTTCTTGGGAATTTAACGTGTTGGATGAGATTTTTTTGGTTTTCCCTAAAATATTCAGATGAATTTTTAAGCTTTGAATGATTCAATAGGGTCAAAAATGAGTTTCGAGGTTAGACACAAAATTTGAGCTTAATCTTAGCTAAGCTGGTACCTAAGTCAAGTCATTTGGATAAATTAACTTAAATCCTTTCAGATTTACATTCTTTAACCAGGTCTCTAGCTGTTCTTTGCATTTAGAACCTTTTAAAGAGGTCAAAACATATGAAAAAATTCCAAGCAATCTCTCTAGACCCCCTAAAATTCGAATTGATGGAAAAACTTTCTCATTTTACTAACGTTGCTATTGAAATTCATGAATATGCGTGAATGAACATAGCAAGAAAAGAGCGACAAAGACAGAAAGTGAATAACTGACTTGGTTTTGGTTTATTGTTGAAGTAAATAAATGGTAAAATATGGTGGCAATTTAAATAGCGGTAAAGCAATATTTGCGAGAGGAAAAAAACACATTTTTAAGATTTGCGTGTTTTTTTCTTCTCCGTTTACATCCATGCGATAAATTTAGATCTCATTTTATTTTTAGTGTGTGTAGATATGGATAAGGATGTGGGTGTTAAGAGATTGGAAAATTTTTGTGGGTGCTTGATGGTTTTCTTAATGGATTTTTTGAGGATTGATTTAGGAATTTAAGTGTGAATTTTTCAGATGTGTTAAACTAGATGCCGAAGGCCCACTTAAGACCTTAACTTCATCCAGTTATCAAATCATCTGTCAAACTCTCCCAAAAAAGCTTCTCAACCTAAAAATCAACATAAATGTGTACTAATTTCCAGAGGGCGAAGTCGACTCGGATTTTGTATGGAAAAGTCGACTTGAGTTCACTCGACTTCATACAAATTTCGAGTCGACTTCGCCCTCTGCTAATTTCTAATTTTATTCCATCATTCTGTAAATATTCGTAGAACAGCACAATAAACATGAACACATAAAATTTAACATGCACAATAAATTTATATATCGAGTGAGTGAGTGAGACGATGTAATTTAGTCAAACATAAATAGATTTATGTCACAATGAGCCAATATTTGAGTTACAACATGATGTTTTCTATTTTATCTGCTCATGCGAATCTGTAGATGCATGTCTGCTTCTTGCCTTCCTTACAGCAGTAAAAATAAGTGAATATATATATTGTTGTTTTGTGCATGCGAATAACATAAATTGCCTTCCTGGTTCCTGAATTAAACAAACATCGAGTCTTGTTTATCTATACATGGACATTCACATGCTGTTGTGTAATGGAACATCCAATGCAATGATGATAATGATAATAATAATTGTAAGAGGTGAATATGTAAACACAAGGACATGATTGTGACCTAAAGTGTAATGTAAAGCATGTCATGGATATATCTACAAAACACGAATATCTATTATTTTATAACGTCGGGTGAGAAATTAAAATTTTTAATTGCTTCTTGGCTTGGTTAAACTTGTTTTTTTTAAGTCGTGATGGTAAATGTTCAGCTTAATATCTGTAACCTAGTTTTTACCTTTATTATATTAAGGGTTGTTTACTAATGACGTCCAGAGGGGGGTCAACAAGAAATGAACAATAGAAATTCGTGGAAAACCATTGATTATTTTTTGAAAAATGACCGATAATTTTGGACGTCAAAAGTGAATTGCATCTTATATTTTATTAAATTGATATTTTTTTTTTAATTTTAAAAAATGATATTAATTCACTTACAATGCTTAAAAATCAAAATGAATTTCGAGCATATTATTATTTATATTTGTGAGCACAACTCAGTTACAGGAAGTGCTCATATGTAATTTTAAAAAATCTCATTTCTAAAATTGAGAGAAATGCGATAATAATTACAAAAATACTGCCTCTAAAGTTTTATCAGTTCTCTGTTGACACTTTAACTGTTCATAATATTTTCAACAACATGAAATTGTAAGCTGAACAGCCAAATTTTTAAAAATAAACCATTTAAAAAAATATTAAATATTTATAGAATTTCTAAAGTTCTGCTTTTCGTGATCACAACTCTTTTCTTCAAACTACATTTATGTCAAGAAACCGTTGAAGGGACATTAAGTGAAGATTTTTGGTATCGATTTGACATGAATTTATGGACCTTCATTGTCTATTCAAATGAAGCAATTACCACAGAAAATGTTGAATTATCAGCTACAAAAAGTGACAGTGTCAAAGGATTGAACATCCAGTATAACAAAAATGTTGAATACTTGCCGATAAATGTCCACAATGTTTTTGAAAATTTGATTGGATACAGCGCATTTAACAACTTTATTAAACAGATTAGATATGAGAACTTTGAGAACCTTAAAGAACTACAGTTGCTGAACTTGGGATACAATCAAATATCATCGATTTTAGCAGACACATTCAGAGATTTAACAAAGCTTAAATATTTGTACTTATTTGACAATCAAATTCAGTCAATTGACGAACATATTTTCATAACTCTTGTGAGTTTAATCAACCTTAATATTGAAAGTAATTTGATCTTCTTAGTGTCTAAAGACGCATTTGACTCATTAACAGAGCTAAGAAATATTTCAATGTCCAACAATAATCTGAAAATTCTAGATAACGATCATTTCAAGAACAACAAAAAACTTGAGAAGATTTGGCTTAACAACAACGAAATTCAATATATGAGTCCATCGATGTTTGATGACATGAACAATTTATTGTTAGTTGATTTGAGAGATAATCAGTGTATCAGCGACGGCTACTGTATTAATAATCAATATTGTGGTCGAAGATTCTCTGAAATGAAGACAATGATTGACAAAAAATGCTAAATAAAAGAAAATAAAAGTAAGAAATATAATCAAATGCAATAAATTAATCCTATTTGTTAAAAACATCAAAAAAATTATAATTTAATTTTGATTTTTAAACAGCACAATTTAAACTCTCCTCATAAAAGACGGTCACATGCAAGTGATTGAGAATATTAAAAAGAATTTAATTTTAAATCAAAAACAAAATTTCCCATCATTTAATTTTTATTTTATTTTGATAAGCAAAAACATTTCCGACTAAAACGATTACAATGCATTATTATATTATTATATTATTTAGTAAGAAATGTTGTAAATTGATAATCAAGGGTGCGGAACTAGTAAATCATTCTTTGATAGTTTTTGATCATTTCAATCAATCCTACACATTTCTGAGCAGTAAATTCACACATTTCAAAATTAATTCAATCGTTTGTCAAATATAAATAAGATGTTTATTGCCAATTTCACCATTTCTTTTTAAAATATGCCACAATATTCTTGATTAAGATGAAATAAATCAGTTTGAATTTTTTATATGTATACACTCGGGATAATGCTCTATAAAATCAAATACATTTTTAATTCCTTTATCAGTTTTAATTAGCATCTTGTTTGAAAGTAAATTGTCTGTAAAAATTATGGCACAGTAAGTGAAATTTTAAATAATAAAAAATTAATAAATAATGAAAATATTTTTTTACAGACTGAAAAGCATGGAAATTATCCTAGTTGCTAATTTTATTAGCATGATTATTTCTTCGACAATGAAACTTGGACTTTCTTCAAAATGAAGCTATATGAATTCAATATAAACAGTAAAATGAAATACCTAATGATAACATGGAAATTTCTCTAAGTAAAAGTGAATGTGTGAATGGATTTTATTCAAGGAATAACAAAAATATTAAATATTTGCCTGTCAATGTTTATAAAAAATTACCTAATCTGGTTGGGTATAGTACAGGACGGGAGCCAGGGGGGGGGGGGGGCATAGGGGGCCCGGGCCCCCCTACGAAAATCTGATAATTGTTTTATTAAGTATTTGTAGAGAAGAACCAGTTAATGTAGAGAAAGTGATGAAAGAAATGTCAAAATCAGCACGAAAAATTATATTTAATGTATGAATAATGAATTAAAGATTTAAACTTATTAAGAATGAATATAGATTTAAGGATACAAAATAACGGTTTTTTAATTTTCGTGAATAACGGTTTTTTATGAGAAATGCAATGGTAAAAAGTATTTCGTATAAGAATTTTGAGAATCTTAAAGAGCTTCAGTTAATTGATTTATTTGATAATCATTTATCTACTATTTCTAATGATACTTTTAAAAATACAACCGAACTGAAAAAATTAATTTTAGAAGACAACTTATTGAAAAGTATTGATAGAAATACATTTGACTCGTTAAAAAAATTAATATATATTAGTTTTGCTAAAAACGAGATAGAAACTGTTTCCATCTATGCTTTCGAACATTTGAAAGAATTGCAAAATATAACTTTGAAAAATAACAACATAAAATCATGGAACGAAAATCATTTCTCAGAAAATAAAAAACTTGAATATATTTGGTTGGAGAGCAATAAAATCAAAGATTTAAGCCCAACATCATTCGATGGCAAAAGTAATTTAAAATACATAGACTTGCAAAATAATCAGTGTATAGATAATTTTTACTACACGGCCAGTTTCTCAGTAATGAAAGAAAAAATTCAAGCAAGTTGTCAGAAAAAAGAGTATTTTGAAGAATCAGATGAAAATGAATAAAAATAAAAGTTTAAAAATTGGACTTGCAGTTTATGCTGTGGTCGTTTATTTCATTTGTTATTTTTTTTTCATTTAAGAAACGAATCTGAAAAAATTGCTAGAAGGTTTAAAAAATATATACAAAAAGTAAAAAACACGAAACCAAATTTATTAACATTGTTCTTTAATTTCACTTTCCATTTGAGAAAATTCATGGTCACATGAATAAAATGTATCACAAAACATAAAATTAATGCATGAATTGTTTTTTAAATTTACAAGTTTCAGAGTGTTAATGTCTTTTAAAAATGTTGAACTTAATAATTCTATTTTATTGTTGTATAACCAAACATTTTCAAGTTTTTTGTTATTAATAAAATGATCATCGTTCAATGTTCTCAAAGTATTATCTCGCAAAGAAATGTTTCTTAATTCTGACATTGAACTAAAAGCATTTTTTGATACAAAAGAAATTTCATTTTCACTAAGGCGAAGATCTTGTAAATTTTTAAGATTTTTGAAATTATAATCATGAATGTATATCAGCTTATTTTCAGATAAATTCAACGACTCTAGATCCGATAAATCTTTAAAAGCATTTTCAGGAATAAATTTAATTTGATTATAGTTTAAATTGATATATTTTAGCTCACTTAGTTTCTCAAAATTTTCATATCTTATTATATTTATAGAACAATTAAAGAACTGATAAGCAACTAAATTAGGAAATTTTTCATAAACTTTTATGGGAAGATATTTTATTATTTTAGAGTTTCTGATAGAAATTGCCTTCACACAATTAGTCTTTTCTGAAGAAATCTCAAACATTTCGTTTGTTATTTTTTGATTCAAATAAATTTTAAAGGTCCATAGATTCATGTCAAATTTGTACCACAAAATATCTTCAGTGTAGCCTTTAACAATGTCACTTCCACTTGTATTTTTAAGAACCATAGAAATTATTATGAAACATAGAAAGAAAGTTAACCTACGTGAGAAAAAAAAATATTTTTCATGTCACAACTTTTATACAAGAATTTAACTTACGTCTGCATTTTTCCTCTACAAAAAATCTAGCTCTATTGTTTTTCAATGTTCACAAGCAACTGATAGAGACTAAAAAATTGCGTTTGTCTTTTAAAAAAAATTTTTTAAATTTATTCACAATGCACTATGGGCCAGAAATGGAAAATTTTTCCAAAAATTATTTCTACAACTTATATGATAGTCCTTATTCTGTCCTACATTTACGTCCTTAAAACTTTGCCTAAGTCGACAGCATGTCCGAGATATGGCACTTCAAAGTTGGTCAGACGACCATTTTCACGTTACATTGAAAATGCTCTCACCAGTCACTGGATGGATGAATCTCCTTCAATTTTTTTTTGGTAATAGCTTTAAATAGTTCCTTCATTTTAAGGTATAAACAATTGCAAAAAATTTTGGAAAATTTTGTGAAAAACTTGATTTTTCTCAAAAACCACGTGTTCGTCATACTTCCGTTTGTGTAGGTCTTCACAAGCACAACCAAAGTTACTAATTTCTTTTTTATATTAAAGATTACATCAAAAGCTATAACTTTTGCATACATGTCGTATAATTTTAACAAAGTTTTGGTAGTGAAAAAAATTTTTTTTATAAAAAAAACACCAATTTTTTGACAAAAATCGCTGTAGTGCTCCAGGGATACCCATGGTAGTGGAATTTTATTTCACATTTAGAAAGCTCTCTGGATATGCTATCAATTAATGCAGTAAAATGAACAAGTGTTCTCTTGGCAAAGAGCACTTTTTTGACTCTGAAAGTCGTATGTCGAGCAAGGTCAAAAAAGAAAAATAATCATAAAAATTTCAGTTTTAAGTAAAATTTAATTTTTTTAAGTTAGATTGATAGATCTTTTTAAAACGCGTCTTTTGAGTATAAATATGTCATAGTTTTGTCAAGTTTCATGATCAGTTTTTTAAAAAAATAGTTTTTTTCAAAAAAAAACTTGAAAAATAAAGTATTTGACTTTAGAATTTCATAAAATGCATTCTTTTTAACATTTTTTTCACTATTTTGTCTAGTTTTGCTCCTCGTTTTTTCCTAAACATAAATCAATAAGAACTTAACATAATTGAAGCCATTTGGAGGTTAAATTGAGTTAAAAATCGTTTAAAATTTTTGTATTTCTTAAATAGTTCTTTACACAAGTATCTAAGATATAAAGTGTTGCATAGTTTTGAAAAGGTATTAAAATTTTCAATATGTTAACATGAAAATTTTAGGAAAATTTTCAAGTAATATAGTCAATTTGGGTAAAAAACGCATTTTATATATGCTAGTTTTTAATGTTTTTCGTTTTTCTCAGCAAAGACTTTATGAAAAACTCTCAAAGTTTGCACACTTATTTGTTATATAAATGTTAATGACTCGTATAAGTTTTGGAATTTTCTATTGAGTTTTTCATGAGTTCTCCAAATCTGAAATTTTCAATATTAAAAATCCTTTTTTCTCAATAATTCCGATTTTTTATTTATAAATAAATATCTTATTTTGTTTCATTTTTCAATATCTTTTCATTGATATGTAACAATCTACGAAAAAAATAAGACTAGCGAGAAATCAATAAAAAAAGTGTCAAAAATTTATGAAAATTCTACGCTATTTTAATTTTTTAGCATTTTCTGGTTAATTTTATTAAGTTTTGTAAGAGTGTTATACCTTTTTGCAAATTTATAGCTTAAGACTTTCATCTGCTTTCATCCATTAAAATTCGTATGAGTCAACGATAAGCACAACTGAAGTTAAATAAGCTTCACGTTGGCGCAACCAAAAATTTTGAATTTTTTAAAATCAAATTATTTAAAAGCTTTAAATTAAATCTTCAGGCTGCTATTAAATACATGAAACATTTATAACAAAACTAAATGAAAAAGTTTAATATTATAGCTCAAATAGCATTAAAATTAATATCTGGTTTTCTTCATATGGAACTGTCTTTTGTCGCCAACGTGAAGCTTATTTAACTTCAGTTGTGCTTATCGTAAACTCATACGAATTTTAGTGGATGAAAGCAGATGAAAGTCTTAAGCTATAAATTTGCAAAAAGGTATAATACTCTTACAAAACTTAATAAAATTAACCAGAAAATGCTAAAAAATTAAAATAGCGTAGAATTTTCATAAATTTTTGACACTTTTTTTATTGATTTCTCGCTAGTCTTATTTTTTTCGTAGATTGTTACATATCAGTGAAAAGATATTGAAAAATGAAACAAAATAAGATATTTATTTATAAATAAAAAATCGGAATTATTGAGAAAAAAGGATTTTTAATATTGAAAATTTCAGATTTGGAGAACTCATGAAAAACTCAATAGAAAATTCCAAAACTTATACGAGTCATTAACATTTATATAACAAATAAGTGTGCAAACTTTGAGAGTTTTTCATAAAGTCTTTGCTGAGAAAAACGAAAAACATTAAAAACTAGCATATATAAAATGCGTTTTTTACCCAAATTGACTATATTACTTGAAAATTTTCCTAAAATTTTCATGTTAACATATTGGAAATTTTAATACCTTTTCAAAACTATGCAACACTTTATATCTTAGATACTTGTGTAAAGAACTATTTAAGAAATACAAAAATTTTAAACGATTTTTAACTCAATTTAACCTCCAAATGGCTTCAATTATGTTAAGTTCTTATTGATTTATGTTTAGGAAAAAACGAGGAGCAAAACTAGACAAAATAGTGAAAAAAATGTTAAAAAGAATGCATTTTATGAAATTCTAAAGTCAAATACTTTATTTTTCAAGTTTTTTTTTGAAAAAAACTATTTTTTTAAAAAACTGATCATGAAACTTGACAAAACTATGACATATTTATACTCAAAAGACGCGTTTTAAAAAGATCTATCAATCTAATTAAAAAAAATTAAATTTTACTTAAAACTGAAATTTTTATGATTATTTTTCTTTTTTGACCTTGCTCGACATACGACTTTCAGAGTCAAAAAAGTGCTCTTTGCCAAGAGAACACTTGTTCATTTTACTGCATTAATTGATAGCATATCCAGAGAGCTTTCTAAATGTGAAATAAAATTCCACTACCATGGGTATCCCTGGAGCACTACAGCGATTTTTGTCAAAAAATTGGTGTTTTTTTTATAAAAAAAATTTTTTTCACTACCAAAACTTTGTTAAAATTATACGACATGTATGCAAAAGTTATAGCTTTTGATGTAGTCTTTAATATAAAAAAGAAATTAGTAACTTTGGTTGTGCTTGTGAAGACCTACACAAACGAAAGTATGACGAACACGTGGTTTTTGAGAAAAATCAAGTTTTTCCAAAGTTTTTTGCAATTGTTTATACCTTAAAATGAAGGAACTATTTAAAGCTATTACCAAAAAAAAATTGAAGGAGATTCATTCATCCAGTGACTGGTGAGAGCATTTTCAATGTAACGTGAAAATGGTCGTCTGACCAACTTTGAAGTGCCATATCTCGGACACGCTGTCGACTTGGGCAAAGTTTTAAGAACGTAAATGTAGGGCAGAATAAGGACTATCATATAAGCTGTAGAAATAATTTTTGGAAAAATTTTCCATTTCTGGCCCATAGTGCAATGTATTACAATTTTAAAGAATATGTTTTTTAAAAAAAATACACCATATTTAATAAATTCATCTTTTCAATACATTTAATTTGATTTCTTGATAGATTCATTTTATAAGGTTTTTGTCTAAAATATTAGCATTTTTAATATATAAGGGACATTTAGTACATAGCTTAGTGTATAAATTCAAGATTTAATACAAAGATTTTATCAGTTTATAAAGATCATCATCTTAAAACGCATTTATTCTTAACGGAATTTATAAAAGAATGGAACAGTAAGTTTAGTTAAGAAATAATTGCAAATATTTTTTGAGGTTATATCTCAACACGATAGCACACTCGAGGTTGTCCATATATTAAATAATAGATAATGAGATTTTGATCAAGATAATTCAGAAGAATACAGGAACTTTGCAATGATTAAAAAACAGAGCTAAACTTAAATTCGAATTGAAAATAAGAGCTCTTCACTGGATCATTGATCGCAAAGAAATCTGCTTAGCTAGGGATCGATGTTTTAAGCTAATACTAATTTTAAATCTTATTTTCAACAGAAAAAAATACTTGAAAGTCATCATTTTTGGTTTGATGATTTATACCATTATGAATTCTTCCGAAGCAGCAACTGTAAGCGGTTATTTAGAAAATGCAATATGGAAAAATTTCAACATGAGACTTTGGACATTTAAAATTTACAATAATGTGCCAATTGCTGATGATTACACAGATATTTTCACACAAAAACGTGAATGCGCTAAAGGTTTTAGCTCTCAATCAAATAAGGATATTAAATTTTTGCCCGTAAATGTTTTTAAAAAATTTCCAAATTTGGTTGCTTATCGAGTAAACAATGGTAAAGTTAAAAGTATTTCAGCGAAACATTTCGAGAATCTTGGAGAGCTTCGATATTTAAATTTATATGACAATCAAATATCTACTATTTCAAATAATGCTTTTAAAGATTTAAAGAAACTAAAAATATTAAATTTGGAGAAAAATATTTTAAAAAGCATTCATGCTTATACATTTTATTCACTTAATAATTTAAGAATTTTATATCTCAACAAAAATCAAATCGAAACTGTTTCAATTTATTCATTTGACCACTTGACTGAATTACAAAATGTTTCATTAGCAAACAATAAATTAGAGTCATGGAACGGAGATTATTTATCAGAAAATAAAAAACTTGAGTATATTTGGTTACATGAAAATAAGATCATAAATATAAGTCCAACATCCTTCGATGAAATGAATAATTTGAAATATGTAGACTTGCGGAATAATCAGTGCATCAACAATTACTATGGCACAAAAAAATTCTCATCAATGAAGGAAAACATTCAAGAAAATTGTCAGGCAAAAGGATCTTTTGAAGAATCAGATGAAAATGAATAAATATAAAATTTTAAAAATTGGACTTGCAGTTTATGCTGTAGTCGTTAATTTCATTTGTTATTTTTTTTTTCATTTAAGAAAGGAATCTGAAAAAATTGCTCGAAGGTTTAAAAAATTTATATAAAAAGTAAAAAACACGAAACCAAATTTATTAACATTTTTCTTTAATTTCACTTTCCATTTGAGAAAATTCATAGTCACATGAATAAAATGTATCACAAAACATAAGATTGATGCATGAATTGTTTCTTAAATTTACAAGTTTCAGAGTGTTAATGTCTTTTAAAAATGTTGAACTTAATAGTACTATTTTATTGTTGTGCAACCAAACATTTTCAAGTTTTTTGTTATTTATAAAATGATCATCGTTCAATGTTCTCAAAGTATTATCTCGCAAAGAAATGCTTCTTAATTCTGGCATTGAACTAAAAGCACTTTTTGATACAAAAGAGATTTGATTAAATCGAATGTAAAGCATCTGCAAATTTTTTAAATATTTAAAATCATCATCATTTATGTAGATCAATTTGTTATTATCCAAATCTAAATAAAGTAGTTCTGTTAAATCTTTAAAAGTATCTTGTGGTATAAAATCAATTTTGTTGTATTCTAAATCGAGGTATTGGAGTTCACTGAGTTTTTCAAAGTTTTCATATCTAATTTCTTTTATTGAACAATTATAATATCTAATGGCAACTAAAGTGGGGAATATTTCATGCACTTTCACTGGTAAATATTCAATTATGTTGCTATTGGCTGATTTAATTGCTTTCACACATTCACTTTTACTTGAAAAAATTCGGAATTTTTCGTTTGATGTTCCCTCGTTCGAATAAATTAGGAATGTCCATAAGTTCATATCAAACTTATTCCAAAATAGTTCGCTTGTATATCCTCCAACTGTGTTAGCGCAGATAATCCCAGCGTTGGTAGTAATTAGATACACTATAAGACACTTTAATCTATTACCATAGATATGATTTTTTTAAAAAAAATAAAATAATAAACATTGAATTTACAAAAACAAATTTTACTTAAATTGAACTTACAAATATGAAATCATTTCGTGTCACTTGATTATAAACTTTAGTCTTAAATAATGAGTTATTAATTGCTGAGATGCTCACTATTAACTGAACAAGACTCAAATTAAATTATGAGTTTTATATTTGAAATCATTACAAGTAAACCAGTTTAGTCTGTTCCTGATTATCAAGAAATGTTCAAATTTCGTATTAAAAACGCTTATCAAAAAATTTTTTTTTTTTAAAAAAAATATTTCATCATATTCATCAGAAAGTGGTGAAATTAAAATGATTTTTGAGCTTAAACCAGTGTTGCATTCTGGCAATTTGTCTGGATCAGATAAATTCTGAGACAGAAATTTCTTCATAAAGATCGATTCTATATGAAGATAGAAAATCTAATCTACACAAAGATTATTTCTACATAAAGATTCTGTCTACATAAAGATTCGATGTAGATGTCTACAAGTCTACATTCTTCTCTGATGTAGACCTGGAAAAAATGTAGAATTGTAGACATCTACATCAAATCTTTATGTAGACAGAATCTTTATTTAGAAATAATCTTTGTGTAGATTAGATTTTCTATCTTCATATAGAATCGATCTTTATGAAGAAAGTTTCTTAGCTAGACAAAAACTATTGAAGAATCTACATTCTTCATCTAGTGTAGACATCTACATTTGCAACACTGGCTTAAACACAAAAAATAAATTATCATAAAACTTGGTTTCAAACTCACCTTGTCGGAAAATTTCTTTCGTTTATAAATATAATATTTTTATAATTCTACAATTGTAAGCAACGCCTTTAAAATAAATTTGTCTTTTTATTTTAAAACAATATCACCATTTCTAAGTAAATATAATTTAATTATTCTCGCGAAGTTGCAATCATTTATTGATAAGATTTCATTTATATATTGTCGTTCTTTTCATTTTAATATTATTTAACTGTCAGCATCATTCTAGTGTACAAGAAAAAAAAGTGCATAAAGTCAGTGATTTCAAGTAATTTTAATTTAACACTCTTCTTTGACATGAAACTGTAAGTAAGGTTTTCAACAAGTTTAATAAAAAAAAAAGTTTTCTAGCTTGTACGAATTTAATATTAAAAATTCAACTTATTTTATAATTTTTTCTTAATTCACATAGAACTAAAAATGTTGGAATACCTGTTATTGCTGTGATCTTAATAATATCATTCAATAATGTTCGCCCAGGAGAAGCAGCAACTGTTAGCGGATCTTCACAAAACGTGATTTGGTACTTCTTTAAAATGAAGTTTTGGACTTTTTGGTTTAACAGTGATGCAGAGATTTCTGAGATTGATGTTCAAATTTCTGCAAGCAAAAGTGAATGTGTTAAAGGTTTGGTTTCTAAAAATAATAAAAAGATAATTTATTTACCTACGAGAGTTTATGAAAAATTTCCTAATCTAATTGGTTATGAAATTAAAAATGGTGTTGTAAAAACTATTGAATACAAGCATTTTGAAAAACTTACGGAGCTTCAATTAATTGATTTATTCGACAATTATATATCTACTATTTCAAATGACGCATTCAAGGATTTAACAAAATTGAAAAGTTTAAATTTAGCAGATAATGTTTTGAAAAGTATTGATCGATATACATTTGACTCAGTTAAAAATTTAAGGAATTTATATCTGCACAAAAATCAAATAAAATCTGTTTCCATCTATGCTTTTGATTTTCTTACTGAATTAAGAAATATTTCATTGAGTAATAATAAATTAGAGTCATGGAACGGAGATTATTTATCAGAAAATAAAAAACTTGAGTATATTTGGTTGGAGAGCAATAAAATCAAAGATTTAAATCCAACATCATTCGATGGAAAAAGTAATTTAAAATACATAGACTTGCAGAATAATCAGTGCATAGATAATTTTTATTACACGGCAAGTTTCTCATCAATGAAAGAAAAAATTCAGGCAAGTTGTCAGTAAAAAGAGTCTATTGAAAAATCAGATGAATTAGTAATTAGTGATTATATATTTTGCAATTAAGTAAATTGATGAAGGCTTAATTTAAATATTACAATTTTTTGGGGGTTCAATTTAAATGATTTCATCATTATCAGCCAATAAATAAAAAAAAAATTTTTCCTTTTTCTCAAAAAAAATTCAATTGATAGCAACAGTAATCAACAAACAGAAGCAATAGAACTAAAATCACATAAAATAACTCACGTCGACATTTACACAAGAAAACATTATTGTGCGTCTTGAATAATTTTCCAATTTTTATTTTTTGCTGATTCGAAATGCAATAAATGAGTTGTTCTGATGACATAGGGAAGAGGAGATTGTCAACGCATGTGAGGGGTAAATTCCTTTTATTGTTATAAGAACCCGCACGAACATTAAATTTAAGAAAGGAAAGAAAAGATTTTGTTTTTGGATACATAAAATTGCTACATTTTGTGCCATAAAAGTAAGGAAGATTGAATGGCTAAAATGATTAATAGGATAAAATGATTGTCACTTAAATTGGCATTACTGCTGATTCCTCCCTATGTTGAGTGTGAGGACAGCAATAATCAAAAATCAATATGTGAAATAAAATGTTCATATTTGTTTTTTATTATTTTGTTTGACCTTGAATAAAATTTTTATGGATGTTGTTTTTTTGATTGTCACATTTGTGCACATTTTGTGCTGTTTGAAATTTAAACAGGAACGACCTTTACGCGATTTTTATTGTTTTCGTATTGCTTGTCATTTTTGACGGTCGCTCATTAAATTTTTACTATCGGTTCCTGATTTTCAGATGAATTTTTATTATAGTCAATACGTTTTTTGCTTGATGGCATACATTGAAGGTCAAGGAGATGCCCTTAGAGATAAGACACATGAAATTGAACGATGATTCACCTTGAATGTATTATTTTTAAAATTATATTACCCATCGCTCCTGTTAGCTCTATAACATTCTATATTTAATCATTTTGAGCCGATTGAATCTCCTTCCTAGATACATTCCTTACTTTCTTCATCTTATTCTTCCTTTCTTTACATCGTTGCTTTTTCCATTTACTTATCCAATCAGTCAAACAAATGAAATAAAAATTACACATTAAAATGACTGCAAGATGCTTAAAAAAGTGGGTGTACAAGAATCACAAATGCAGCAAAGAAGTGAGGAAAATTGGAAATTGAAAGAAAAATTGCCGACAATGAAAGAATTTTTATGAAAATTTTCCTTAGTTTCAATTTGATTTATTTATTTAATGATATCCTCCCATTATTTTGAATATTTATTTTACTGAGCGAATTTTGGTGGAAAAAAATCTTCAGCGGTGCAGTTTGGGAGAATCTGAACATTCATAATTTGTGCAAATCCTTGAAACACAAAACCCATCTTTTCCTGTTTATTTGAACTTAAAGTCCTCATAAAATGCGTTTAATCTACATCAAATATTATCTAACTTGTCTCATTTCCCTCTTCTTTGCTTACAAAATAAATCCATATTCTAAGCTTAAATGCTATATACATTCTCTAATATGAATCTTAGTTAGTCTGTAACATATCATCATATAAATACACCCTCACATTTTCAATATTCATCTTGCCTAGCTCCATGCTTGCCGTCTATCTTTGCTGCCTTTACAATACAATTTTGTCTCAATTTAAAGGAGAAAAAAAAGCGACTAAGAAACAAAAAAGATAAATTTCTTGCTCTAATGTGACATCAAACAGAGATTAATTCCTCTTCTGTACAATAAAATACATGCAGTGAGCGGTGCTGAATAGAGAAAGTAAAATAAGATAAAATGAATAAATATGTAAGTGAGAGGTTCAAGCTCGCGGAGAGGGGATGAGGAATCATAACAATTAAAGTAAACAAAACCTCAGTAAATACACAGACGTACATGCTCATATTCACGCTCTTTCTCTTATTTAAATAGATTTATTATATCCTTCACCCTTCACACTCGTCTTGAAATAACAGCGATTAGAGTTTGGAGGGAAACTAATGTTGAGTGGCAGTGGCAAAGAGCGCAGTTTTGTGAAGGAGTTTGATGAGGTTTTACTAAGGCTGGATATCAATGAACTCCCCGGAATCAAAATGAATATTCCTGAACTGAATTGAGTCTATTTTAATTTTTTTTCCTCTTTTAGAACTTCATAATTATATTCCTGATTATTTTAGGTTCCTTTGAATCTTCTCTGATTTTTTTAGAGTTTCTAAGCTTGAAGAACGAAGACTTTCTGTTCAAAAGTCATTACGATTCGAAAAAAAATTCACAAACTAGTGCCATTATAATCCTCATTAGTAAAATAATCCAGGAAAAAATGAAAATGAAGCAGAATTCTTCAAATTCTTCTCCTAGTTACTGCTTTTCTTTAAATTTTATTCCTCATCAACTTCACATTTCAATATATAAATAATGCGCATTAAGAAATTAAACAACAAGAGATCTCTAAACAATTATTTCTGCCTCGAAGCGATAAAATTGATGATTACAATTTCATGTTTTTTCACTGCTACTTTTGCTTAGTGTATTTTTTTTCGGAAGAGATATAAAAATATACAAATAAAACTGATGACAATAAATTTGTTATTGCCTGAGGGCAATGATGATTAAAATTGTTCATTATTGTCATTATGGTGTGATTTTTATGATTTTAATTTTTTGGATCTGGAATTCTTTTTTTGAAGACTAGGAACCAAAAAACCTCTAACCCCCTCCCTCACAAAATTTCCCTTTTATTAAAGTTTTCCACGACGTTGTAAAATGAAAAATTTGGAACAATTTAATTCAATTAGTTTGACAATCATTGAAATCCATTCCGGAGCAAAAGAAATAAACATAAAAAGCCAGTTTTGCTCATTTCTCAACCATTTATTTATTGTTATTTTTATTTGCTTTTTCTCTTCCTGGCATGGCTGAATGAGGAACCAAAAGTAATTTTTTACACTTAACATTGAAATTTATGATGTGGTCGTTTCGTTTATTTTTCGGTAACAGAAATCTAGGCATTAATTTTAGGCAAAACAAAAGGAACAGAAAAAAAAATGTCAAGATCTCATTCTCCACAACATCTCTCATTCCTCATACCCACCCTTTTCTTTTGCATGGCGGCATAACTGGAAGCAAAAATATGAAAAGAGGAGGGCAAAAATTTTCTGACGTTGGTTTCAGTGGCCTGTAACCCTCATGAGAATTAATTGCAACAAACACGACATTTCAAATGCTTATGGGCTGTTTGTTTCTTCCTTTTGTTATTTTTTTCTTCATTTATTTTCCTTTTTTCGCTACTTTTTATACTTTTTGGTTTGCAAAAAAGCCCGAAGGACACAGGAATGGCGTGGTTTCTGCAAAACTTTAATTCATAGTTGTGAAAATTCAATTTTTAATTCAGAAAATTTAACAAAAAAAACCTTTTAAAAATTTTTTGATTATTTGGACTGATAAGATGCGAAGTCAGAACTCCAACCTCCATATTCCTCGGGCTTAGCATTAAACAATATAATAATAATTCTTCCATCTTCTTTCCTTTCATATTTTTCGCTCATTCCTCGCTGTGCTCGCCATTATTTCACTTCTTTTCTTGCGTGAAAATGAAATGTTTTCCAGAAGCAACGGGTGGCAGTTAAACATAATATTTTTTGGTTGCTTTATGCCATTCTAATCTCAGATTTCAAACAAACACAAACATTTATGAAAAAAATAAAATAAAAATCATAAAGAATCGGAGAAATATAAAATGAAATGTGAAGAAAATGCGATAAGAAATTGTTGTTTTGTAAAAATGCGTAATTTTTAATGATTGAAAGTTTTTTTTTTTTTTTTTTTTGGTTTTAAGTTCATTTATTCATATCAACCTTAAGGTTGTGTTATAAATTTACATTAATGTTTAATAATTGCAGAAATAAAATATAAATTTGATTATTAATTTAATTTAATTTAATTAGCATCAAAATAAATTTCCAAAAAATGCTCTTTAAGACGATTTTTAATTATACTCAGCGAGTGAAATGCTTTGATTTGCTTAGGAAGTTCGTTATATTTACTAAAAGCTCTTATATAGAAATTTTGTGTTGCATGATTTGTCTGACATTTCTTAATTGCAAAATTTTCACGATTTCTTGTCGAGTGACCATGAATGTCACTCCCTACTCTTATCTCCACATTATTTTTAATAATATTTTTATTAATTTTAAAAACTTGCAGACAAGAATTTGTCTCACAGATTACAGAGACAGGTAGTAATTTAATGTTATATAAAACATCTTTTCCAGCAAACCAATTTTTTTTAAGAACAATTCGCAAGGCTTTCCTTTGTAGGATTTCTAGAGATTTCATTAGACCTAGTGACAGTCCAGACCATATAGTGCTCATGTAAACAAAATGCGACTGCACGTGTGCATAATAGAGTTCTGTTGCTGTTTTATCAGTGATAAATTTTCTGGCTCGTCTTAATGCATATATGAATGGTGTAATTTTCTTTTTCAATTCATCAACGTGATCTTTAAATGACATTGTCTCATCAATGGTCAGACCAAGAATTTTTAAACTTTCAGACCTTTCTATAATTCGACCATTAAAATTTATATTTAAAGCTAGTTCCGTAAAGTTTTCAAATCTTTTCTTTCCTTGAAATAGTACATACTTAGTTTTCGCAATATTAGGACTAAGATAATGATTGTTTAGCCATTTTTGGATTAATTGTAAATCATTTTCAATGTTTATCTTTAGCTCATTTGTGTTATTTCCTTCATTAGTCAGAGACATGTCGTCACAGTAAAGATATAAATTACCGCTAAGATTTAAGTTAAATATACTGTTTATATATAAGTCAAAGAAGGGACCTGATAAGACACCTCCTTGAGGCGAGCCTACGTTTATTAACAAAAATTTACTAAGACTTTCGTCAATCTTAACTGCCTGTTTCCTTCCATTCAAATATGAAATTAGTAAATTAAGGAAAAAAGGTTCAAGATTCAATTTGCGTAACTTTTTTATTAAAATTGGAAATTGAATGCAGTCAAATGCCTTACTCAAGTCAATGCATGTAAGAGAAACTGATTTTCTTTCATCAACTAGGCTATAAATGTCATTGGAGATATGTGCTGCAGCTATTTCACAATTCGATTTCTTTACATAACCAAATTGGTTTTTATGAATTACATTATTGTCGTCTAGGTGATTTTGAAAACGTCTATAAATCACATATTCATATATTTTACCTAGAATAGGATTTATTGTAATTGGTCTGTAATTATTGCAAGATGTTTTGCTGCCATTTTTATATATTGGTGTTACTATACCTAATTTTAAGACATCTGGAAAGATTCCTTGAAACATATATTTATTTATTAACTTAGCAAGATTACGCAAGAGCGAGTTTTTATGAAATTTTACGAAGGAATTGGACATCCCATATATATCAAGAGTATTTGATGATTTAAGATTTTCAATGATAAGTTTTATTTCA